TGTGGCCCTTGCATGATAGTTCTCTAGTTCTTTATCTTTAAACTGGACTTTGACCAAACAGCCCTTCAGATATAGGGATGCCTTCAAACTGAGGTCTGTAAAATAGAACACATAGCCATGAATGCATACAAAGTCATCCTCCAACACAAAATATTGGCAGGATGGTGGCTTCAGTCTTTTTAACACTATTGGTTTCAGTCTTGGAAACCTGTACCAGAAAACAGATTTTTCCATTCATCTACTTAATATAATGTCATGATGTGTGTACGTCTTCTGAAAGCAAGTGGCTTTTCAAAGCTGCCATGTGACATTTGATAGCCTTGCAAAGCCAGGAAAATATATATCCTAATCTGTACAGTCTATAGGGAGAGTCCAGCTGGCCAAGAAGAGCAGACAGATTTCACGATAAAAGTGTGCAGTGAGGCCGTGTCTTCTTGGCTTAGATTTTTAGACAACAGTTGAGACTGGCAAATCTCCCACTTTCAAGGTGGAAGGAACCTTAGGGGACTTCATTTGTTTTTGTTTTTGTTTTAAAAAAAGATCCTTTCAGTGATATATGAAGCTTACAGCTCAGAGTTATACAAAGTCTTGTGCAATCAAGAGATTTGGTTTCTTGCCTTCTTTTTAATCGATTAGATAATGGAAATTCTAAAATAAAATAAAAAACAGCAAAAGGGCTAAAAATATATGATAAAGGGATGATATGAAAAGATTAGTGATGAATTAAGCAGGAGCCAAGGGGAAGTCTCGCTATAAGGCTTTGGCGTTTGGTCTTCATTTTAAATAGTGTCACAATAAAGGTATCAGGCCAAGTACATGTAATTGCAAGTAGGTGTCACTGAGTTCATTGGGACAACTTCCATGTTTCAGGCTGCATCTGTTCACAGAGACTAGATAACACTGGAGCACCACTTCTTAATTAATTAGCCACTTTCCTATAATAAAGGCTTATTGCTTGAATTTAAAAACTGGTGCTTATATGTTGCTTCTTGGGCAGTTCATGAATAGCACAACGTTGATATTTCCTTCAAACTCTCTCCAGATTTTTACACTTCACTAGCACAGAAGGTATATTTTTGGAATTAATAAATGAGAAGAAATCTGGAAAGTTAAGACAGGGCTGTCTTCAATGTGGAATATGTAACTCTTTGCTCCAAGCAAAATATAACAGCCAGAGAGAGGGGCTTCCAAGGGTTACAGACAAGATTCTTTCCCAGCCCTTCCTGGACAATTGAATCTGAGACATTCTGCATGCACTCTGCCACTGAGCTATGGTTTTTGCCAGTTTAAATGTTCCCCATTCCACCAATCTGTAAGCTAACGTAACACACCAGCTACAAATATACGAATGCATTAAGTCAACCCTTTTAATATTTATATATGTGTTGCTTCCTTACTTGCAGAGCTCGCAAGCTTACACAGTATTATATTCACATGTTCAAGTTAAGAGATAAAAAGGTACAGACTCACTTATGAAAAGCATTCATAGTAACTTAATTAAAAAATAAATAAATTCACATGCATGGAGGCTAGCACACTTTTCTGCAGACTGCCCTTTATGCAAGATATGACTTCACCCAGCACAAATTTAAACATATATTACCCGGAGGCTTGGAAATGTTACTGGTTAAAACATTTTCCGAATCTTTCAGCACTCGTCCCTTGTGTAAACATGCTATTATGGAACTTGCACACGTAAAAAGCTCACTACTGCGAAAGGTGGAAAATTTACCCTTTTATACCATCTCTTGGTGGTGTCTGTGTCAGCATTCGCTCTTATCCCCTCTATAAACTACAGAGCTTTTTCAAAGAGCAGCTGCTTCTTTGAAACACAGTAATATTAGCAGGAACATAATCCATATGTTGGCCAGATAAAGGCAATGAAAGAAACTGCATGCCCTTGAGAAATAAAACTACGTATGGAAATTCCCAGGTGCTTCTTCTCAAAGGTAGACCTTCTCAAGAGTCACAAATGTCTCAGCTGCCCCCATTCAGACAACAGGTAGCTCAAACATACAGCCATACTGGGCGGTTTGCTGGAGTTGCACACTTAAAGAAGTGTCCATCATTCTAGAATGACCGCTCCCTACATCAAATGGGGGGGTGCTTTTTGCGCAGTCGTGCACAGCCCCCCCATCCCATGCAGCTCCCGGCAGTACAGCCTGGATACGCCCCCCCCCCCCAGCTGGACACCTGGAGGTAGCTGCCTACCTCTGCCAGTTACCCATTCCCAGCTGGGGGTGGGGGGCGTTGCCAGGAGAGAGTTGGCCAGGTAAGGGAAGGGATCGCCCGGCCCACACAATAGTGGGCGGAACTTACCTGGGAGTTCTCAGTTGGCTCCAGAGCTTCTCCTGCCCTACCCACCCTCAGTTAAGCCTTCTTTTGCAGGTTAACCTCTTCTTTATAGGTACACGGGCGCTGCTATGTCAAGGTCGCTGTTGAAGGGCCGGAAAGGAATTCTCTTGCATTGGCAGGTTTGCCTTTCCCGTAGCAAAACATTACAATTTTGGCGGTTTCAGGCCTTGGGCGGAATCCTTTAGTCTATCTTCCCTAAATGGGGGGGGGGGTTTGAAGTGGTGAGCCATGCCCCCCCCCCCGGGGTGGCAATCCCAGGGTTCACAGTTAAAGGGGTTGTTTAGAGGGGAGGCATTGGCCATATGCTGTTAGGTTGTCATTGCTCTCCCCTGCGACGGTGGCGAAATGGGGGGCGGGCCCTCTGCTTGAACAGATGTTCTCCAGAACGCCAGCCCAATCCCCACATATTCTGGATAACCCTGATGTTCCCCAGGTCCTCGGCTGGGGACTGAGAGGGATAAACGCCCAATGCCTAAGCCGAGGTCTCCCTACATCTGAAGTTTTAATAAAGTTGTGACCAAATTTTAATCCCATAACACATTGTCTTGAGTCATTATTCCACACGGGTGTCGCCTAGGGTCGGGGGTCTCCGCCTATCCGCGGAATGAGCTAACTCCCAGAACAGTGCCTATTAGCTTGCCTACTAGTACTTTTCCTTTTGTATGTTAATCATCTAGCTTTTCCTTTTGTATGTTAATCATCACTGGGTTTCTTCCCATCAAAAGGGACACTCCAGAGATTTATGGGCAAAGTTAAATATTAGATTATGGCTGCAATGATTCATTTGTGTTAATTTTCACATATGGAATCTGGCTCGTGATGTTTTAAAACTATTTCAACAAAAAATGAAAAAAGGTTGTTTTCCACTGGATCACACGCCTTGTGATTTATGAAATTGCAACTGTTCTCTTGTTCTGCCCTATCCATCTTGCAATGAACTCCATATATCAGGGGGAGGGAAAGCTTTACAGAGTACCCAAAAACAAATATTACCTTCCACTGAAGCACCAATGATTGAATATTGTTCAACTATGGCAACAGTCTCTGCAGAGTATATCATGCTGTAAATCAATGAGTTATCGTTGCTGTTAAGATTTAAGAGGAAAGGGCCAAAGAGACAGCTTGGATATCAAAATCTGTTTTTCCATGACCCAGGGAGAGAAGGCTTTCACTCAGCATGCTCCTGTTTGGAAGCAGCTGGTAAAGAAAACACTTGCTAGAAGGGTGGTTGGGCGGGCGGGCGGGCGGGCGTGGGGTGTGTGTGTGTGTTTCTCTCCCTCCCTTTACAGATCATAAAAAGGCAGACTTCTCAAAAAATGTCTCCAGCCCTTGGGGTATGTAGAGTGCAAACTTGGATAAGAGTTGCTGTGAAGGGAATGGGAAATTCCCAGAGAAAATTCTATGTTTTTAAGTAAAAATGTCTTGGTAAAATAGTAATCTGGGCTGCTGTGTGATCAGCTACTGTAGATTACACAGACCTTGCACCTAATCACTTCACATTGCCTCAAACGGTGGCCTGTTTTCCTTCCTTCTGCCGGATCAACAGTGGCCTGCTCATGCGTTAAGCTACAGGTGAGCAAGGGTCGAGCAATTTCCAGAAGAGTAACCATGTTTGTCCTTTGCAGCTTAAAAAACAAAAATATTGTGGCACCTTAAAGACTAACAAATTTATTATGGCATAAGCTTTGACGGGCTCAAGTGCACTTCATCAGATCCATGAAAGGTTGATCAACTGAGTGATGAGGAATTAAATGGTGTCCATGCATGTCCAAACCTATTTAAATATTTTTTTAAAAATCAATTCTTCTAACAGGAACAACAAAGCTTGAGAACACAAGGATGATATGTGTTGAGACATCTCAGGTACCTAAGCAGGGTTCCCACAGCCACAGGGCTGGCATTTGCCTGTCTCCCACTGCCAAGACCTGTGCTCCTATTGCCCTTTGCTCTCCCAGTCCCACAATCAAAGTGTTTGAAAACCACTTGGAAGCAGAAGGGAGGAATTTTTTATTGTTTGGCTCAAAGTTTGGAGTATGTGTGTGTTTGTGTGCAAAGTGCATACAGTCCTGCTAATAACAAATGGAAGATAGCCACTAATTAACTCAGTCTCCCAAACAAAACCAAAATATGTTCTATCCCCTTGGTTCTGCCCTCTGATACTTTTTTATTTTTTCCACCAACGAAGGAACACAAACACCCAAGAGTGCTCCTATTTTCAGTTCAGCTTTAAGGTGCTGGAGATTCCCTAACATGGGTAGGCCTGTCCTGAAACCTGCTTCTCCTAACTCGTGCACAAGTCGTCACTTGAAGCTGCAGTGCACACCAAGTGTTGGCCCTACCTATGTAAGGCACCCAACCTTGTTCCATGTGGTGGACCCTCATTCTGTGGTGGCTGATGGAATAGAGAAGCAAGTGGGCTAATAACAAAATACTGGAAAGATGAATTCATGATGCAATAATGGTGCAACTATGTTTGGAATTATGCACTAGCCAAGAAGCCCACCAAGCAAGTTCGAGCACTGAGATGGCCAGACTATGGGGGTGATTTTGTGGGCCAGTGGTGTGGATTTAGTTAATGGGTGAATAGATATATGAGGCTGTGATAGCTCCCTCCATACATATGTCTCACTGTGGCAATGACCTGTTGGGGTGAAGAAGGAAAAAGCTTTAAACAGTCGTACATTGGATCCCGAATGCCTTGCGAGTCGAACGTTTTGGCTCCCGAATGCTGCAAACCTGGAAGTGAGTGTTCCGGTTTGCGAATGTTCTTTGGAACCCAAACATCCGTCACGGCTTCCAATTGGCTGCAGGAGCTTTCTGCAGCCAATCGGAAGTTGCATCTTGGTTTTCGAACATTTTGGAAGTTAACGGACTTCCAGAATGGATTCCATTCAACTTCCGAGGTACCACTGTACAGACATTATTCTATGATCTCTGTCAAATCTGAAAGTATAATGTACTATTATTATAAGTATAACGATGTACTATTATTATTATTTTTATTAAAAAAAATAGGTCCCCCCCTTCGTTGGTTTGTTAAATAGTTTTAAGTTTAACTTCCTAACATTAAATAGCTTTTTAACAGAAAGGAAGAGCACCACAGACACACAAATCTATGGTGCAACCACATTAGGAATACTGTGTACGGTTCTGGTCATCTCACCTCAAATAGGATACCATAGAGTTGGAAAAGGTTCATAAAAGGGCCACCAAAATGATCACGGAGAGAAGAAATAAGCTCGAGGGACTGTCACCATCCACCTCCCATTGCAGCCTCTCCCTCTCTGCAACTGCCACCACTGGGGTGTCTGAATAACCACCTTGCCCTGAGGGGACAGGAGAATCAGCACTAGTGGCTTTTTCTAAACAAACAAGTTGCCTTATCTGTTTTATTGTAACTTTTTGTTTTTTTAAAAAAGTTGTGCTTACTGTTGCAATAATCTTATGTAAACTGCTTTGTGAGGTCTGCCTGAAAAGTAGCACGTAAATACTGAAAATAATCAAATAAACAATAAATTTCCCCATGAAGAAAGGTTGCGGCGTTCAAGGCTTTTTAGTTTAGAGAAAAGGCGACAAAGAGGTGACACGATAGAAGTTTATAAAATGATGCTCAACGTTAGATAAAGTGAATAAAGGAAAGTTTTTCTCCCTTTCTCATAAAACTAGAACTTGTGATTATCCAAGAAAGAGGGATGATGGAAGGTTCTCGCCAGACAGCGCACAGAGGAACAATGGAACAGGAGGCAGGGATGGCCACCAGCCAATTTAAAGGTAAAGGGACCCCTGACCATTAGGTCCAGTCGTGGCCGACTCTGGGGTTGCAGCACTCATCTCACTTTATTGGCCGAGGGAGCTGGCGTACAGCTTCCAGGTCATGACTAAGCCACTTCTGGTGAACCAGAGCAGCGCACGGAAACACTGTTTACCTTCCCGCCAGAGTGGCACCTATTTATCTACTTGCACTTTTGACATGCTTTCAAACTGCTAGGTTGGCAGGAGCAGGGACCGAGCAACGGGAGCTCACCCCGTCGTGGGGATTCGAACGGCTGACCTTCTGATTAGCAAGTCCTAGGCTCTGTGGTTTAACCCACAGCGCCACCCGCATCCCACCAACCAATTTGGGTGGCTTCAAAAGAGCTTTAGCCAAATTCATGGAGGACAAGGCTAACATCTACTAGGTGAGAGAACAGGAGAACAGGATGCTGAACTAGATGGCCCATTGCCTGGCCTGATCCAGCAGGCTCTTCTTATGTTCTGACACGCAGAGCGGGAACGCACTAGAGCCAAGCAGGCAGCCCAGAGGGTCTGTGGTTGCGCTGACTTGAGAAGCCAGGCCCACCCCCTGGGGCGGGACCTCCCTACCGGTGCGCAGACAGAAGACACCCTCGCAAACTTGGGAGCCGGCTCTCTCCTTAAGACTCGCCTCTGCCGCCTGCTGCTGAAGCGGCTCCGAGCTGCCAATCACCAGCAACGCTCGACCCGCGCGCTCCGCGCGTCGAGATCTCTCCTGCCTCTCTCGGGCTCTCCAGTTTGCTGCTGCTGCTCCGCTGCTCGCGCACCGAGCACATTCTCTTGCCAGCTTCTGCAAGCGGCAACTGCGCGCGGGGCGCACGCCTGTTTGCAGCCCGTGTTTGCAGGCTTTCCGCGCGCTGCAAGCCTGAGATTCAGCGCGCGCGGCGTGCATGTGCCATTTCAACTTTTTATCTCTTTCCTAAGGGGAGACCGGGCTTCTGGTTTTCCTTGGTGAAGTGAATAAGAGAAGGCAAACTTTCAACCTTCTTCTTTTGGAGAGCGATATTCTTATCCAGAGCTGAAGTGACAAATGGGCATTTAAAGGGGCCGCTGGATTAAGTTGGCGCTGGCGAGGAAAACACCTCTCAAGATTGCCTGGCCGGACTTGGATGGTGGAAGAGCCGGAATCCCTTCAGCATTACTCCAGAGCTACCCGATGGACTTGGATGTGAGGATGGAAAAGAAAAACATGGATCATTACCTACGCCGTCTGAAGCAGGAGTTGGTAAGAAATGCCCGGTAAAAGAAGGGACTGGGGGACTGGGTATGAGGAAATAGAGTCTGCCTTTCGGATCTGTCTCCTGCTCCGTTTGCAACTTCCCAGCTAGGGGGTGTCAGTCAATGAATGTTCCCTCTCTCCCGCTCTCCTTCCTGCACAGCGCTTATTTCCCGGGCTTTGTTTAGAGATCTCGCCGTGTCCTTCCTTTGCAGCTGTGTGGCCTCCAATTTCCCCACGGGGGATTTTTTTGTTTCCTTCCAAGCCCCTGGGATGAGATGGGATAAAGAGGAAGACTCCACAGTCCTCTCCCACCCCCACCCCCCACATCACGGAAAGTGGTTTCCAAATCTGTTTGCACAGTTTAGCTTTTGCCGCTGACACGGTGGCTAAATCCCATTGACAGTAATAGGTGTTTAACCCTTCTCTCTATGTGTGTTTGTGTCAGCACGAAAGAAGGAACCTCTTCTCTTTTCTGGCTGGGAGCGCTGGCACCGACAGCCACCCCCTCACCCCGCACTCCTTTGCTCTTCCTGCAAAGGCATCGCCTTCTGTTTGTTTAACTGTGACAGGGAGCGGTGAACTTTGTAATCAGTTCAGACACCGAGCCCTTTATCATGAGCCCTGAAAGGGATTATAAACTGGCATCGCATCACAACCTGTTACTGTCTTCCTTCCCCACGTTCTTGCACTGTTAGTATGAGCATCTAACTGGATAGAAAGCTGCACACACCCACATCAAAACTGCGTTCTCCCAAGACCTAACTGTGTACCTCCATTCATTTTCTCCTTCCTAACCTGGACCTGTCAGGCAGGTTTACCCTTGGGCTCCTTCCCAACGTAACTCATCAATTTTTCTCCTCTGGTAGCCCAGCTCTGAAACATTTTTTTTTCCAGAGCACAGATGTGGTCGTATCATCTCTCCAGGCTTTCTGGTTGCCTGCCACTTCTTTTAATTATAGGGGTGCCTCCAAATCTTCAGAGGCAGACGCATACCACAAGGCAATCATTTCCCATTGGCTTTCTCTCCTAAGCTTCCGTTTTTTGTTTGGTATTGTACAGTTTTGCTAATAGCCCTGCTGGAGCGTTTTAATTTTCATGTAAAGTAGCGACATCCAGTTCTGGAAGATGCCGAACGCCACTTGTTCAGTGTCCTAAAAGGAAATGCTGAGCCTCGCATCAAATTTCCATCTATAGAATGTGAGCCTGGCATTCTGGAAATATCTGAGGTCCATTACCCATCACACCAGCTACACCAGATAGCTGTTGCCATTATTGTTATTCCCATTTTACAGATGGAAAACTGAGGACCCACAGCAAAGTTCATACAATTCGAACCTGAGTCTCCCCAACTGCGCAGCTAGACCGTGTTTCCATTTTACAGCCGAATTCCTTCACTGCTGACTCTGAAAGATTTGCATTGAGCCGTATTGAATGTCTCTAGCTGTGCATTCAAATAAAAGAAAACTGGAATCCTGGTAAAATTCAATGTAAAGGTGATGATGCCCAAGTGATGAGATGCAAAGGGCTTTGTCATGTCTCCCTCCTTTCTACCTTGGCAGTGGAGATCCACCACTATACCTTGCAGCACATTCTGACTCCCACCCAATCAATTCCAGTTCCTTCCCTGTCTTGTCACTGCCTGTTCCATCCACAGACACTTAATCTAATTTATGGTGCTGGAGGCAGGCCAGTCAGCTAGAATTTTTTTCTACCCAGACTTTCCCCCTTAAGGACACAGCCAAGCTGCTTTGCAAAATCCTGCACATTTTCTTTAGAAATGCAAGAAGAATGTTATTTCTGCAACTCTTCTAATCTGTGTATTATTTTACAACCCCCTTTTCTTAGCCACTTTCACAGCTACCCTGTAAGGTAGCGCCGCCACCCCCACCCCCCCAGCATATTACCATCTACAGACTAAACAAGTGTTGTCACCTAGTGATAAAGTGGGGCGGAGTTGTGGCTTAAGTTCCTATCTCCCAGATCCACATATAATACCTTAATTACTAGACTGCACTGCTTCCAAAAAGGAGAAGAGATCAGAGTTGTTACCTCTCTCTTAGATGTAAATGGCTCTTTGGGCAGAGATTGACGAGTGTGATACTGAGCACCTCGCACTGACATTCTGCCCTTCCTCCACCCCACGGCTCAGGCACAAGTGTTTCTTGCCGTGACATGTTTGGGCTTGCCCACCAGCAGATGCATCTATCTGATGCCCTAGTTTTTTGTTCTAATGGATTAGTAATGAAGCATCGGGATGTCTTTAAATAAAGCGCTGGAATTGTTCAGCAGGGCTATGAAAATGAGAAGAAGAAAGTTCATGTCACATGTGAATAAATAATAGCAACTGCAGTTCTGAGAGAGAGAGGGAAAGGTCATGGAAGAGTCAAAATGGTATGAAGAGCTTGGGGATACAAAAGCTTTCTTTACAGCCAAAAGATGACTACCACCAACACTAGTGAATAAAATCCAAGTGGGGCCAGCCCAAACTGGAATTCATAATGCGCTCCAGTGTCTTAAGACCATGATCTGCCAGGGATTTAATTCTAACTGGAACCATAAAAGCAGACCTTTTAAGTGCCAGAATGTTGCTCAAGTGTCATGCGCATGGGATTGATGCTTTAGTGGAGGTGTGCAAAAGTGCCAGAGTCCCATTTACAGCCCAGTCCTAGGCATATTTACCCAAATGGAAGCCCCAAGTAGGAATATATAGGATTACAATCCTGTACAGTCGTACCTTGGAAGTCGAACGGAATCCGTTCCAGAAGTCTGTTCGACTTCCAAAATGTTCAAAAACCAAAGCGCGGCTTCCGATTGGCTGCAGAAAGCTCCTGCAGCCAATCGGAAGCAGCAGAAGCCCCATCAGTCATTCAGCTTCCAAAAATAGTCCACAAACCAGAACAGTCAACTTCCGGGTTTGCGAGGTTTGGGAGCCAAAATGTTTGGGAACTAAGCTGTTCGACTTCCAAGGTACAACTGCACTCACACAAGCACTGAAGATGCACTGCCAGCAGAAGGCTGCTACATCCAGTGTGTGCTCAACTTGCTCAGGCAGGAGAAAACTGCAGGCAGAAAATACAAATATGGTGTAAAATGACAGGCATGCCCACAGTGTTCCTGAGAACGCAGCCCACCAATCAGGGAATGTGCCAAGGATGGTGTCTGTGAGGCAGCCAATGAACTCGTGGGCATGCCTCAGAAATCATCACATGCACAACTTGCCCCCCTGTTCTATCTGCCCCAGTGACACAGCCAACAATGGTCCTGCTGCCAGTCCCTCGGGTGTCCTTCCATGCGTGGGTTTGAATCACCTTGCACACAATCCACCTAAAGGGGAGAAGGCCCACAACACAGCACTCACATATCTCCTTGGGGCAGGATATATACAAGCAGGTTGCACAGTCCTCTCCTTGGATGGGGTCCAGAGCCACCCATGGGACAAGCAGTCCAGAAGATGGGCAGGAATATGCAGTGAAAGTGGCTGCAGGATAGGAGCCTCTGTGGTCTCCCTGCAAAGGGCAAGGGGTTAGGAAGCAGGAGATTGGAGACCAAGCCTCACCAGGGGGAAGGGGAGAAATACAGCCTGACTCTCCTCTCGCATGCCTGGCAAGAAATATGTCAGGGTCAAAAGAGAAAGGGCTCCCAGGACTTGAAGCTCTATAGAGCAGTTTCCCGACCACTTAGCCACAACATTGGACGGGAATCTGCCCCACTGCCTTAAGACCCGTTAATATGGGTTGCAGCAGGAAACTTAGCCAGATAGAACAATTCATTCTATATATGCAGGGGGACCCAGGTTTGAATCCACAGTACAATCCCACATTAGAATAGGTGGCAAATGGCACCCTACATGTAGGCACACCCTAGCCAATCAGAAGGAGGGCAGCATGGACCAATAGTACGGCCCCTGCATGGACCAAACAGTCCTTTTGGTCTGGCTCCTCATCCTGAAAGCCCATGGTGTTCTGCCAGCATTTTTTTGTCCTATATCTTGCCTTCCACCAGCATAGTGGGCTTCTGCTGAACCCTACAGGCCCTCAGGCACCACTGCCCCAGACCTCCTGGGTCTTGAAACGCTTCACTTTAGGATTGTGCCTTTGTAAGCAGACCCTGAAATATAGATTCCCTGCTCCACCACCAAAAGTATTAATTCCAAGCAGTTTCAGAACTGCTTATATTTTATTCACTTAGATTTTCAAAGTTCTATCTGTTATTTGGCACATGGTGCATAACAACCATCCAAAGTATAAATAATGCAAAACAAACACACGCAAACAGTCAAAGCACTTTAATCATCTAAATTTAATGCTTGCGGACCATAAAAGATGTGCATCCTTATGCCTAATCACTAAGCGCCTGCTTCAGTGAAATGCACTTTACACTTTATTAAAAATAAAACAAAAAAGATCTTACAACTTGTTGAAGGGGCTTCTGAAATTTGAATTTCAAGGAGGGGTGCTCTTTTTCCCGGATCTGTGCCCTGGGAGCAATCTCATGGGAATCATATAGATACACTTGAACTTGAGTACTCTTGCAAAAATCTTGCAGGCACAGCTGTAGTTGGAGGGAGTTGTCCCAAACATCAGGATCAGGAAGGATGACATAGATGTTACTATTGTAAAGAACAGTTGGCATGGGAATTAAATGAGTTTCAGGTTGCCCCTCACTCTAGAGTAGGAATGGGGGAGAAATTTGATTGAGTTTGCATTTAAAGGTGAACCTACCTAGTTTGCACTTTCTGACACATTATGAGAACTGAAGCACAGCCTTCCTTCAGAATTCACACTTCTCGAATTTTGCAATGCAGTTCTCCAGCCAAGGGATGTGTACAAAAACACATACACTAGTGTAAAGCATCCATAAGAATACATATATAAGTGAAAATGATATATACAAGAATGCGTTATTTTATGGAAAATTGCTTTGCAAAAATGTTTATATTAGGCAAAATTGCATACAAATATGTGTCTCGTGGGAGAAATTCACACTAAAATGCTGGTGGATTTTCATGAGGTTGTTATTTATTAGTCATTCATTTAATTTTATTTTTTGTGAACTGTTGGGGAAATGTGGAGAACTGAATTTGAGAATGGAAAACTGAGGGGATGAGAAAAAACTAAAGTGACAGATTCACCTCATCTGTACTCTATAGTAGTTCAGTTGATTTTAGTAAATCTACCTTGGATAACCTGTGAATAGCTCCTCTGTTGAGTACAGTGTACTCCTTCATATGAGCAAGCCATGCAAGTAGACAACAGCCACTGCTAACTTCAAGGGAGTCAGATGGACAAAGGCTCTGTATTCCACATCATGGGAGAAGAGAAAGGTGGGAGGGGCTCATCTATACCCAATGAGACTCCTAGTTGCTTTGTATTGGCCAGGCTGAGATTACATCTCTAGAAAGAAGATGCATTTCCATATAATGCGTCTTTTGATTTGCTAGACGACATTATGCTGTTGTCCCCACTTCCAAAATTTCTCCTGTGGTCATGATGTCAGATCACCTTTCTAAAAAGAAAGCTGTTATTCTTAGAGTTTTATTCATGATCTGTTAGTTTATATGATTTGAAGAGAAACCTGAGTGTTTTTTCCAGAATGGCCTCCTAGAAGTACACAGCACAATACAGCCCAGAACAAAGGAAGCTGCCATTTACAGATTCAGACCATTGGTGCATCTAGTTCTGTATTGTCAACACTGAGTTTCAGCAGCTCTGCTGGGGTTCAGGCAAGGGGTAGTCCCAGTCCTCCAGGGATTGAACTCCAGAACTTTGGCATGTGAAGCCTGTGCTCTAGCCCACAGCTGCAACACTTCCCTTAAACACATTTATATGGAACATGGGAAGATGCCTGATACCAGGTCGGATCATTGGTCCACCTGGCCTAGTATTGTCAACACTGACTGTCAGCAGCTCTTCATGGTTTCAGGCAGGTCTTGCCCATCTCCACCTGGAATTGCTGGGGATAATAATATTTATATACAGTTGTACCTTGGTTGTCAACGCCCTGGAACTTGGACATATTGGCTCCTGAATGCCGCAAACCCGGAAGTGATTGTTCCAGTTTGCGAACGTTCTTTTGGAACCTGAATGTCCGACGGGGCCTCTGCGGCTTCTGATTGGCTGCAGGAGTTTCCTGCAGCTAATCTGAAGCCATGATTTGGTTTCCAAATGTTTCGGACATCGAATGGATTCTGTTCCACTTCCAAGGTATGACTGTACTGCCCTTCGTCCGCAGATCTCAGGGTAGTTCACAAGATAAAAATACAAGATAAAAGCACAAATAAATAGTTAGAATGAAACAATAACCCCCCTGCCACATGCAGTATATTAATAAAAATATAGAGCATGTTTTCAAAGTATAAATAGTTAGATTCTCCAACAACTCAAGGAAAGTAAATAGCATCTTTCTTTCTTTTTTTGAAAATGAAACAGACCCTGCTCTCCACAATTAATTCTGGGGTTTTCCCATGGATTTTATCAGGATTTAAATAAGATTCTGAAGTGGCTTGTGGATACTTGCTCAGGTTCTGTCTGTGCTTATGTTCAGTTTCCCTGTGATTGATGGGAGAAAAATGTGTGCCCGTTTGAAAAGATAAAATCTGCTGCAATATAACTGTCTGGCAGCACCACACCCAACCCTGAGGCCTTGGCCCCAAAGTGCAAGAGCATGAGCCGTGGGAGCCTGGCATGGTTCAGAGGGCGCAGGTTGGAGTCATATCCGTATGCGTCTGTTAAGCACAGGCGCACAGAAGTACTCAAGTGTGGCAGATGTAGCCTGGAGAATGGGATTACCAATATTATAAGGCTAGACAAGAAGCACGGAGATGCAGTGATAAAAAAAAGCGCCCCTAACTGACTTTTTACCTGTTACGCAATGCTAAAATTGTACCCAGGACTGCCAGGAAAGAAAAGGAAAAAAATTGGCAGCCTTGCATAGAGTGCAAGCCAGAATCATTACATTCCGTGGGAGTTTTGCCATAGCTTTAATGGAAACTGAATGACACTCTTACCACAGAATCAAAAGCACATTGACTTGGAAGTAATTTTTTCGAGAACTGGATTGATTTTCAAAAGTGCAAGATCAATCCCTGAGCATCAGGGTTAATCAGCATATGATTTTGCAGGCTCCAGCTCCAAAACAGTTTTTTCCCCTTCTATATAAAGGCATCTCCCCACTTACATGGGGGTTACGTTTCGGGCTACTGCATGCACAAGTGAAATCACGTACAGTGGGGAGCATCCTCCAAAAAGCCTCTAAATGCCTATTTTTCCAGCTCTCTCCCCCGCTTTCTCCCCAATCCAGACCAAAATATCTGCAGTTGAAGCTCTGGGGCCAGTTGGAGGATGCATGGGAAAGTGGCAGCAGCTGAGCTACCCCACATGTCAGCTGCTAGGCGGGAAGGCTGAGCAGCCTAAACAAAGCCCCGCTGTGCCTCTGGCCTCCTCAGGGCTTCCTCTGCCCTTGCTGACGTCTTCTTTGGGCTCTGGGGAGGGTCTTCTCACGAGTCACAAGGACTCTTCATCTCTCTCCTGCAGAGGTTGGATGGCCATCTGTCATGGATGCTTTTGCTGAGATCCCTATATTGCAGGGAGTTGGACTAGTTGACACTTGTGATCTCTTCCAACTCTACAATTCAATTATTATATTTCTTGGTATGAATCTGTTTGTTTATTTATTTATTCCCCAGTGCCTCATGAATAGGCAGCCACACGTAAGGAAAACGCATGTAAGCTGGGAGGGTGCTATTTAAATATACTTATGGCATAAACTTGACAAAGTCTTGCTCTCCGGTGTAGCCAAAGCTCTGGAAGTCTGACCCAGCCATGTGCTATACTTTGAGCATCCTAATGAAGGCTTGCGGGTGTATTCTCCAGCCTTAGCACATGTGTAAATGGTTTTAGATTTGGTCTTTGATTTAGGTGCTGCATTGATTTAGGCTCACATCTTTATGATCTCATATACCATCTAACTGAGCAATAAAGTAAATTTGCCGGGACAAGAGAAGTACGCTAACAGAAGCCATCCTACATTCTCCTGATGTGAAATATTTCAAATCAATACTCTCTTGAATTAAAATAGATGAAATTTCATTTTTCCAAAAGGCAAGCAATTTAACAGATAGCTAGAACCATCTGGACGCATTGGGGCTGGGAACTGAATCTGTTGACCCTGACTTTTTCCACCACTTAGTTCATTACCAGCCAGGTCATGACTTGAGTTATTAATGCAGCAGAACCAAAAGTAGCCTTTTTTATATCCCCAGATAAAGACAATAAACATGGTATTCTTCACAGTTTAAGTAGGAGTTCATTTTTACGCTCCCAGTTTGCATTGAATAAAATGCTGATTTGCAGTATGCAGACACAACAAGCACTTGTTTTCTGTGTCAAGAGGAGCAGAATAAATGTCAGATTGCAGCGAGGTCTTGTAAGGCTGGCCCACTTAAGGAAGCAAATCTTGTTAATGGTTGGTAATGTAAGGGAGGGGAAAGATAATGACAGCCAGCAGGATAGGAACTTAGCTTGGCTTTGTTTGATGACTGTTTCAACCTATTGCTTTATAGATGCTGGTAATCATGACAACGTACATTGTTAGGGCTTAATGTGAGAAATTAATTCTGTCAAAAAGCTCACTTTAGTGCCAGCCTCAGCTTAAGGTTTTCTTCCTTCCTTTTTCTTGTTGGGTTCACCATAGTGTAGGGAACTGTTTTGGGCTAGGATCTGGGAGATCGGAGTTCAGATCACCACTAATCGATGTGAAGCGCCTGGATGGTTTTAGGACCATCACTGTCTCACAGACTAATGTACCTGGACATGGTTGCTGTGAGGAAAAGTTTCAGAAGAGGAGATTCGTGAACTTGAGCTCCTTGGAAGAAAGATGGGATATAGATGAAATAATACAGGGGTGGACTTGAGTAATCTGTTGTAATATGGTGGCCTGTGTGAGGCCAAAATTTGGCGCCCCAAAATGGATCTTCTCAGTTCTGGATCTTCTCAATTTTGCACCCCCTTGACTCAGTTCCTTTGCAGGGGAACTACCCACACTGCCCTAAATCTGGTGCTGAATAATATATGAACAAATTTAAACATAAAAAAGAAGAAACAAAAAAAAAGAAATAGGATTTCCGCATCCGAACTATAACTGGCACATGGTTCTTTTTTTTCAAAGTACGCTTTTTGAGGTGCAAACCAAACCCTGCACATATGTATAAGCAGACACAAAGAGACTCACAAATCGTTACTCTATAGAATGCTGGTGATGGTTTAGAACTTCTGATCTCTAAGCACACTGTAGAACAGACTTCTTATTCCAGGTGCAAGCTTTTATATGTGCAATTGTTTTACCTGTTTTTATATACTATATGTAACTTTTATATATGATGTTATATTGTAAATCACTTCAGAGGGTGCCTCATAAGAAGTGATTCATAAACAAAATGAAATAAATATAAACACCACCATAACAACAAGAGCTCACACCCCTGTGAGGAATTGCTGGTATGGAGCACAGAGTTATGTACAGGAAACAACTGATTAACGCACGTCTGAATGATATGTGATTGTGCTTGGTGCCGAACCCAGAAGTGACCTGAAAACATCACTAAACACATCAGTAAAAGGATGGGGTGTAACGAGGGGAAGCGTACTTATATGTGCTCCACTGATGCACATGGGGGCTAGGAACAGCTATCCTATTGAGTGAGACATGCTAAGAGTAAAACAGGCCTTCCATACCTCAAATGCTGGGCTGTGTTCTTACCACCAACTATATAAACATGCTATGAAACTTACATGCATCTTGGTACCTGTTCGCTGCCCATGCAAGAATTCCCATGTATAAGAAAGCATGCAGAAACATAGCTCATAATCTAGCCGTAAGCACTTTCCACAAATGCGGTAACTCCAGAAGTGTTGCCACAACCATAGGAATTGTTCCTGAACATCTATGCTCCTGGGTCACACGTTGTGTTTTGCCCATGTGATCACATACCTGTGGCTTTTGGGGAGCAGTGCTCTGGAGCAGCAAACTGCATGTGTGAGTGTCCCTAAGCTTGCTCCACATTTGCTGTTGCTGTTCTCGAGCAACATAATTACCTGAACAAAGCCTGGTACATTTCGCTCTGACGTCCTTGCAATGCGTTCAGCATCTTTGAGTGTCCCATGAGCAGTCATTGTCTATGCAGATCAGTGGCTGAGAGGCAGCATCTGTTGATACACAGTTTTGCCAACATGTGCTGAGCTGTGTGATATATTGCTTGTATAAATACACTCTGAATATAAATATGCTGGAACTGGGCTTCCCATCAACTCACAGTCAAAGCCTGGCCAAACGTCTGCATGATCACAGCTACCCGAAAATAAATGTGAACTGAATGAATGGAATACCTTTTTGTGTCCGGGTAGAAGGTTTTCCCATGGAAGCTGATAACCGCTGGTGCACTCAGATTTCTTTCCAGATGGCTTTCATTCAGATAATTTGAATTGTCCAAATACAAGCGCTTGAAACTTGTGATCCTCTCAGCTGGCACCTTCATTCATTAGAAAGAGCACAGCTAGATCGACAACAGTCCAGTGGATGGACAACCAGTCCATTTTAGCCACTGCACCAGGTTCCCAAAAGTGACTTTCCATTGGCAATCCTGCAGTCTCCCAACTGGATGCTGTATTCTTCCTGGGGCAGGAGGAGGCGCAGACAGAATAACACTGCTGCAGATTAATTGCTGTGCTACTGTTTGCCGCATTCAAAAAAAATCTGACTCAGTGTTTGCTTGGAGATAGACTAATGAGGGAGTGTTGATTACATAAGTTTTTTTAAAAATTAAAAAAAAATATTTCCACAGGCGTATTCGCAAGTAATTCTGCATGCTGCTGTGAGTTCCTTCAAACAGATAGTCTTGCAAAAAATAAAATAAAACCTATCATGTGTGGTTGGATGTGTATTTATCACCGATAGCAGGCAACATGGTGGGGTAGCAACACTCACCTGACCTCCTGGCACCTGGGGTGCTGCTGCTTACTGGGAGGGGAGGGGTGATGCAAACACACTGGCAGAGTCAGTCTGGCACTCCTACTGGTGCATTTGCACTGCTCTGACCTCCCCACTATCTTGCCCCCTCCCCCTTGCTAATAAGCAACAGTGACTCTGTTGTTTGGAGGTCAGGTGAGCTCCGTTGTCCCACCTAGCCATACGCTGCTGTCTATTAGTGCTGGCTTTATGAATATGAGATTTATGGGAGGTTTTGCCCTTGCCACCCATTTTATTATTACTTGGAATCGTCTCTTTATCTGTTCTTCTGTAAGTCACCTCAAGTAAGCATTAATCATAAACACTTCCTATAAGTATTTTAAAATAATAATAACTAATAAAACCAAAATACTGAAAAGCAGAATAAAAGGGGGGGGGGGAGTAAAAACAGCTACCCAAGCTACTTTCGTTAAGATAGCTTTAAGCAGGTTAAAAACCAGTTATAAGGTTGCAAGCCTATACAGTCGTACCTTGGAAGTCAAACGGAATCTGTTCCGGAAGTCCGTTCGAATTCCAAAATGTTCGAAAACCAAAGCGCGGCTTCTGATTGGCTGCAGGAAGCTCCTGCAGCCAATTGGAAACCATGGAAGCCCGGTCAGACGTTCAGCTTCCAAAAGAATGTTCGAAAACTGGAACAGTCACTTCCAGGTTTTTATCATTCGGGAGCCAAAACATTCGAGAACTAGGCTGTTCAACTTCCAAGGTAAGACTGTACTTGCTTACTTGGGAGTCAGTCCCTTTGAACTCTGTGGGGCTTAGTTCTGAGTAGACATGTATACGATGGCCCAAGGGAAAAATCCAGAATGCTTATAGCCCAAAGGCCTTTGGAAGCAACTAGCAGGTTGTGGGGCAGAAGAGTTATGTATTTTGATCAGAAATGGTGTGATCTGGATCAGGGGCCATACCTCTAACATGTATATCAAAAGCAGATAAATAAAGCACAGAATAGATTATCTCTAGGTAAACATATCGTTTGTTAAGGGCCTAGATTGGAGAGCTAAAAAAGTAATTTTTTCACGCAGTGATATACTTTATTGACGGGTTCACAAAATGACAGGCACTATGTTATGGGGAGATAACTGTGCTGTTCTTCAGTATTGTTCCATTCTGCCTATTTTTTGCGAGAATTGAGCATATAAAGGGGTGGAGGCTGGGGGAAGTGGGCTCTGAAGCAAAGGGCAGGAAGGGGCAATGTGGGACACCTCCTTCCCCAGATGTTTGACCCCACTTCCCCCCATGCCTGATCATTGATCATGCTGGTCATTGGAGTTGGGAGTCCCCCAACATCTACAATCACCTGGTTTCAATTCTGCTGGTTATACTTTTATATTGATTTAGATTGCTTTATGTGCACCACTTAAGGATTCTTTGATTAACTGGAGGATACATTCTTCTAAATAAAAATAATAAAAATGGAAATAATAAACATCTGAAGAGCCACAGACCCTCCATCCCTGCCCTAACCCATTGCACTAGTGCCGCAATAACATGCACTCACGTAATATAAGAATCCCATTTGAAACTCACCCGACAGCAGCACCATGACAGAGCTGTGTATAGTCAAACATAAAATCCTGCTCATCTAATTTCCGGCTCATAAATTTTGCCATGGATTTAAAATCTCTGAAGGGAATAAATCGCTCTCCAGCCTTACAGATAAAGAAAACAAATGACCAGGAGGGAGCTGGAGACAGTATCTTTCCAATTTCCTGTTCATCAGTTCAACTGAAGTGGCAAAGACCTACATCAGCATAGGCCTGGGGAGACACAGGCACCCATGGATGCATAACCCAGAGCAGCTTTTGCAAATAGTAATCTTTCGTGATTTTGACGCGGCATGAGTGCTGTTAGCCTGCCAGCATCCTCAGACACAGCTGGGCGTTGATATAAATCTACGGGCTCTGAAAAAGATGGTATCACTTACTTGCAAGGAGCCTGCATAAAAAATGATCTTTCAGACACAAAAGGCTGTTCATGCAAGGGAAAGGTTTGGAATATGCCACACACATAGTGCTATCTCCTGTGTATTCCTTTTACTGAAGGCATATCTCTTCCAGGTAAAGCGTGGAAATGCAATGATCATCTTTCTGAACTAGGTCAAGCACTCAGACACAGGTAGCCTCTATCTTGTGCTTATTGCTATTCTTGGTCACAGGTGTAGGGATAGACAGATCACTCTGTTTCTAATCCAAGTCAGTTCCTCAGGTATTCATTCAAAGTGTTCTGCAGCCATTTTCGCATCAATCTGATTCCACCCCACTTCAAACCACACCAAAATTAGAAGTAGGCAAATAGGCACTGAAAAACCTAAAGTTTTCATGGTTTTACGTTATTCTAAACTATGCATTTCTTGTACATAATTTTTATATATACTTTTGGTTATGACTTGTAGAAGTCGATTAGCCTATAACCTGTTGGCCCACCATCTGTTGTTGATACAACACCGCAGAGCAGGAATAAGGTGCAATCTGGACATCAGCAGCCTAGGAGTCCCTTCTGAAAATTGTAGCCAAAAACAACGTCATGAATATGCCACAGGCAGCAGCTATTGTCTGTTTAGTACAGAGGCAGAATCAGAGATGGGTATGCCAGGGTCTCTAGTTGTGGTGTTAATAAATGGGAAGGAGTGGTCTAGTGGAAGATTAGACAGGAGCAAGTGTGGGTGGTGGAAGTGGTAGGCAGAATCCCAGGATGGAAGTCAACATCACTCTTCTTCCAAACATTATATCTGTGCATGTATTGCAGCTTCAGAGATGGAACAATACATCCCTGTGTTTTGTTCTGGTGATTCTCCACCCCCTCCCCATGCCAAGCGAATTTTGAGGGAGGAGAGGAAACTCCATGGTACAGTTGGAAGTCCTTGCACAGCGCAGGGATGGCTAGGGCAATCCAGCCCATAGAATTCAGGGACAAAGTAAGGCAAGGGAAGCGGAAGGGAACTTCAGGCCTAGGGATTCAATGTGACCCTCCAAATCACGCTGTCTGGCCCTCAAATCTCTCCCCAGGCCACACACCCTTTACTAACCCTGCTTTGAACCCTCCTTGAAAGTTTTGGCCTGGCTGAAATGTGTCCTTGAACGTCAATAATGCATCATGCTTCCCTAAACAAAGGATAGAGAGGTTTGTGTAGAAGCTAGCCTTAGTATGTAAAAGTGAAATTTACATGCATTGCTTTGTTCACTTTTATGTCTGGCACCACCCACCAATGTCATGTGGCCCCCCAGAAGGTTGTTGAGAAGGGAATGCGGCCCTCAAGTCTGAAAACCTTTCCTCGTCCTTGTTTTAGGATATCTCAAGACCTAAGCACAGCAAAGTAAGCTGTTGCCTCTGTGATGGGCTGTAGATAGCCCAAAATTTGTCATATCCAGAAGTGACTGTTCACTTGCCTTAGGTAAAGCCATTCAATGTGCCAGCAGTGCTACATCAGAGCCCTTGTGCCAGATCAAATCTACAATTAGAGCGAGGTAATGAAAACATGCAGCTGCAGAAGGCTGTGTGCATGTGTGCGTGTTTAAAATCACCCCCTCTACAAAACATTGGAGAGTGAGGATTTGTCCTTCTCACCCAGAGTTGTATTTAGCTCAAATTTTGCATCAAAATAAACAGTGATGGAAGGTGTGAGACTGAAAATCCAAGAGCTTGGCAGTGTTCTGCCCACCCCTGCCCTGTACATCACAGTACAGCAGAAGAACATTCCTTGTGATGGAGAAAGCGTAGCTCCTTTATTTGTATGCCAGCTGCCTCCTCCTGGCTTCTGTGAAACTCACTGGCTTCCATGTAGCAATTTGTACGTACACTTCACATGCTCGAAAAATACACTTCCTGAGGAGAGGCTGTCTGGGTGGCGTTCCAGTAAGATTTAGATGTTAACTCAATTAGCCACCAAGGCAATAGTGTGTAAATGCAGCTATAGTAATGTGCATTATCCTATTGACCTCCCATTACCGTCTCTGCCTCTGCTGGCAGAATTCACAGCTGAAGAGCAATTGGGTTCACAAGTTGACAGCCAAGAATGGGATCAGTGAGAGGCAATGGCTTCTTTCCTTGTGGATGCAGCCTAACGCAACAGAAACACAGACCTTTGCTCTTGAAAACACTTGCATTAATGTCTCTCAGCGAGAAATGGTTTGCTACTGTTCATAAATGTGCCATTGCTTATTTTTATGCTTGGGTGGTGTTAGATTATGAAGCGGCACATCAGAAATGTTTGTTGGACCATCTCTAGAGACCCCCTAGGGATGTTTTTGCAGGGCTTATTCAGAGCACCCAAAACCGTGTCTGGTTTAATTTCAGCTTTTACATTTTTATATGGTTTGCCATTATTTTATTTCTGTTTTCAATTGTATTGTGTGAATATTGTGTATCTTATTGGGATTTGCATGGCCAAGGAAGGTTCAGTCCAAGCTCTCAGGCAGAATTCTCAGCCATTGCCCACAACCTGATTCTTTAAACTGTATGATCAGCGTTCTTCTACCTTAGGGAGATGTTGGGGCTCCCAGCACCCCCAGCTCTCTATTCTAGACCACCAACCTTGTAAAGTTACCTCTTTCTCCCTCACAGTTGACTCTCCTTTATTGGCATCCTGTATACTAACAGATAATTCATTCGCCAAATGTGGCCAAATATGTAGCCAAAACGCCACCATCGGCTCACAAGAGAAACTGATCAGCAGACCCAGGTTTGTAGAAGTGGACCCACAACCCCATACCCAAAATACCTTCAGGAACACCAGCGGGGAGGTTAGGAGGTGTCAATGCAGCTTACGAACTAAGCAGGCTCAGTTGTATGGAATGCTGACTGCTTTGGATGGAATGAAAAATTGGTGGGGAGAGGAAATGGAATGAAGGATACTGGAAAGGGCATGGCTACCTGAAACTCTTAACAGGAGTACTCCACACTACTTGTTACTCATAAAATTCAGATAGCCATGTGCTGATACTCCTCCTCTTCTGAGGCAACCCTGGAAAGAGAGACGGGGAAGGGAATGCAGTATCAGACTGGAAACCATGAACAGGAAACCTAGACAAGCCGATAATTGTTGCTTGTTAGCGTATGCTTAGGGGCAATTGTATCAGACATTGTAAAGGGTTGAGAGGGAGTAGCTTTGCATACTTAGTCAGATAAGGTCTGGATAAGGCCAGGAAGAAAGCTGAGTCAGCTACCCTGCCTTCACCATTCCTCCTTAGGTCATGGAAATGCAGCTTGTAGCTTATCCATGTGGCGCCAACCTTAAACTACCTTTGACTCATATGACTAAAAGGTAAAAGCTCTGGTGGATTACCATGCAGGGAAATGGGATTAGCACCCTTTGGCTAAATTCCCTTTGGTCTGTTACAAAGCTACAGAGAATTACCCAAGGCACACTTAGTCCCAAACAGTTTGAAACTAGTTGTTAGCTCTGAGTCACTCGAGAGACGCACATTAAAGAAATAGCTTTTCTGTTGACACTCCACAAATCATGCAAGATATAAATTCTCAGTAAATCCACGCCAGGGGAAATGTAAAACTGGGACTGCACAGAGCTGCATCACAATTTTTTAGCTTAATTGTAGGATTAATTTAGGTGAGAAGGGGGAAAGTTCTGACTTTCTAGCACTAGTACAACCCAGAAGCAATTCATCAGCTTAATCACACATAATGAGGAGGTACCCTTGCTGCAGGGTGAGAGCATCGCTGACTTTAACACCTCCGGATATCTGCAGATCTGCACCCAAGAGTGTAAGTGTGCATGTTTGCCTTTTAAAAGGTTTAGAAATTAACTACAATATATAGTTGCAGCACTTCATCAGTTAGTTCAGTAAATCACTTTCAATTGATAAAAATGTGCATCAGGAATCATACTTTTTTATTTTTAAAATGTGTACAGTTTTCAATGCATGTTATTCTAAAACCCTAACAGGATGGTCATTCCTATTGTATAAAGGCAGTCCTCAATTTGTAGGGCTGTCTGGTCCAGTTCTGGCCTGGAGCCAAATTAATCATAGATTAATCAAAGATTGCCTGATTTAAATGCAACTACAAGCTATAGCTATAACAATCCAGGAAGCGAGAGGGAATCCAAACACGTGTGGGGAAGGAGGATGTGAGTGGGTCCATAGCATAGTCACGACGGTCAAAGCATAGTTTGTCCATGACATCTAGAATGAACCCGTGTGGTGGACTAGGCTAATAGATGATGAGTGGGTCAGAGTTGAGAACACCCAGCTTCAAATCTGATGTTTTTGTTGATATTGCATTTGCACTTACAATGCACCAAACCAGTGCAGAGAGTGGGTAGGCTCATCATCAAGGTGGTCCTCAGACATGTTTCTCTTCGTTTTTTCGTTTCAAAGGGGCTGACACAGAAATACGTCTCAGTGGATTGTGCATTTTGTTTTCTTAATTTTTGTCTTCTACTAGCAAATTCCAATATACATACTTCTTCACTGGAAGATTTGCCTGAATGCAGCACCTGCATCAATTACTTTATCCATGCAGCAGCACCCCCCTGCCACTGCCCAGAAACATCACCCCCATGGAATTGATGTCATTTCTGTAAAATCCTTTTGTGCTGATTATAGCATCCTTTTCGAATAATCCAAATATTGTTCATCGAGGGTTCTGTTTCCTCCCCCTCTTTATTAAAAGCTGCCATAGCAATCCCCCTTTTCCTGTTCCCAGGGTTTCACTTAACAATAACTTCCTCTCACAACACCTCTTTCATCCAGGGGCTGGACATCTGTCTTCCTTCCAATTATGAGAAGCTTCTTCTGGCTTCTAGTTCAGCTGGGCCGTGTTATCCCTCTTTTCCTCCATCTGTACCAAAATATTACCACAGTCCTGAGCAGCACAGATGTGGTTTCGAGCTGGAAACAAAAACAAATTTGTCTCAAGGGGATCGACTGACACTGAATTCCAGGGAAGCATTGCAAACGCTGGCTCTCTTACAAAAACAAATAGATGGGCAGAGAGATAAGACACCAAGTGTTTCAAATGAGGTTCTCTTTTATGCTCATTTCCAAAGACTTGAAGTGGTTGGTTAAGGTGGGAAAAGACAATTGAAATGGACCAAGATGTTAACCTTAGTTGTGTTTATGTCTTCAGAAAGGACATGTTTTGTTTTGTTTAACTAAATATTACATTGAGATTAATAGAAGCCCTCCTGATTCTGGAGGCATTGGATAGTATCTGCATATTCAAGTGCAGGCTTTGCCGGGGTAACCAACCTAGTGTCCTCCAGATGTTGTTTGACTTCAACACCCATCAGCCCCAGCAAGTATGGCTGATCTTCATGGATGATGGGAGCTGTCCAACAACATCTGAAGGGCACTGTATTGGCTACCTCTGCCATCTAATTCCACTATGACATCCTCTTGAGCTCTTCCCTTTTTATTTCCTTGCATTTCCTGCCTTTCCCATTTCTTCTGAAGTTAGGTTGCACAAAGCAGAATTCATTGCTACAGTCATGCAAAAACACAATTGCTTTGGATACAGCCTATTTGATTTGTAAGTATACACAGCATAAAATTCATGGAATTAATTTGCAAAGCAGTTTAGATACAGCCATTTATCGTGAGAACCTCAAAACCGGAGCCTGAATTCATCTTAGCCTATAACTTGTTTATACAGTTGTAAGGTGAATCAAAAGTTGAAGCAGTAAACATTTACAAGACTACTGAGTGCTGCCAAGCAAACAAAAAAAACCTTATGGTAAGCTATTAAAAAAAAAGCTTAGCATATTTATGTGCCTTTTCTCTTGTTTTTAGCTGAAAGTAAACCAAAACCAATAGAGCTAACAACAGGCAAGAAAAATGTTTTGGGGTTTTTTTGTCAACTGAAAAACAACTTTTAAGTAGAAACTACTTTCTTCCTATATACACAAAAATCTAAGTCCATTGCCATTTTGCAGTTTGTGTAGCCTCAGGTCTCATCCTCAGAAAACGACACAACTGGGAACAAAATGAGAACAAAATGGGCCAGGACTCACCTAAAACTTGCATAGACCTTAGGAGTATAGAACTGAATATTTTGCGTCTTTGCTTTTATAACTCTGTTTTGTTCCTGCAAAAGATATTTAGCTAGCATATGGAATATAGGGTTCTTACATTTCCCATGTGTAAGATTTTCAGAGCAAGTAGCACAGGAAAATTCCTTTAGTTAAGTAAATCCGTTAAATTTTTCAGGAGATGCCACTATATATACCTGTCAGTTGGCTTGATGAGAAGTTTATCTTCAGGGCACTTTATGTAACTATTGTGTCTGATTATATAAAGCTCACCTAAATAAAAAATGCTGGCTCTTCAATTAATTATGACCTTTGCATTCAGGCCTGGGCTACAGAAGTTGGTGGTGAGAACAACACAAGTAGGGATTCTTCTCTTCTCTGCCTTAGATGACCACTAAGATGTTGTAGAAGAAACGGTCCCAGGGCTTTCAGTTTCTGTCTGCACCCCAATGACTTTGGATCTCACTGTCAGGCTGTGCGATCGGGTCAGATCAGGGCAGCAAGGGGCAAAACAAGATAGCAAAAAGGCCGTGGACTGTTTCTAGCATCTAAATCCCAACGAAAAACAACACTTGTACTCAATCTTCTCAGGGCTGCATTCACACTGTGCACAGGCTTCCCAAAGGCATTTGGTTGTTCTCTGTGAGAACAGTTTGCATGTCAAGGACCCCCAAGACACCCCTGAATAAAAACACGGTTCACACATCATTTTTGTTTGGGTTTTAGGCATAATTTTAGCCACAACTTTATTGAATTACAGTATGTGAGTGGTTGCTTAGGCATTGGTTAGCGGCTATCTGTTCCCACTTGGAGGTAGGAACAGAACTGACAACCACACCGGTGCAGAAGTCAGTAAGGGTAAACAATTTTGGGGAGAGAATAAAGCTGGGTGCCAGGCTCACACCTCTCCCCAAATGCTCCCTGGGGCTCTTGCGTGGCCCTAGCCCTTTGTCAGGGATACGAACAAAAGCATGGCAAGCCTCTGGAGTCCTTTAACGGAATACCCTTGCAGCAGCAGCATTGAAGGGGCAGGCACAGCCAACCTCATCCCCTCCACCAACCAAAAAATTAACCAATGCCTAACCGCAGCTTACAAGTTGTGACGATTTGCTACGCAGTAGGCAAAACCCAAATGGCACCAGCCAATCAGCCAAACGGTAAAATTCCTACCAGGCCCCTGCTCCAAAGCAAACGACTCCATGACAGGCATAGCAAGGTCAGCGCAAACAAACCCTAAATAAAGGGAGGGTGGGCGGGTAATCCGATGTGCGCAGCGAAAAGAAGAAGCTCAACGCTGCGCACAGGGACCTATGTAGCACCCCCATCAATCAAATAAAATTGCAACCATCAATTTTCCCCAGCAATATTGGGGGTGCCCAATCAAATTTGTGGCCATCCAGACTAATCCGCCCAGCAACAGGGGATGTCATGGTTGCTCCCACCGCAACACGTGCTCTCCATGAAGGAGAACCCGCTTTGTTGGACTAGATGGGCCATTGGCCTGATCCAGCAGGCTCCAGTGTGGTGTAGTGGTTAAGAGCGGTGGACTCGTAATCTGGTGAACCGGGTTCGATTCCCCACTCCTCCACATGCAGCTGCTGGGTGACCTTGGGCCAGTCACACTTCTTTGAAGTCTCTCAGGCCCACTCACCTCACAGAGTGTTTGTTGTGGGGGAGGAAGGGAAAGGAGAATGTTAGCCACTTTGAGACTCCTTAAGGGGAGTGAAAGGCGGGATATCAAATTCAAACTCTCTTCTGAACTTATTAGGGTTTTTGTTTCAAAAAATCCACACACTGATGTTGGAATGTGGGGAACTGAACTCAAGATGGGGGAAAATGAGAAACGGAAAGAAGCTGAAGGGGACAGATTTGCAAATAAGCAGTGAGAAGAGCGAGGAAAAGGAGCAGTAACTTCCGCATTCCTTGGGCTTTATGAGATGGTGAGAAGCAGGGATGATTGTGGCGAAGAGATGAGCCTCCAAATCTTGGTCCTAAATGTCTCATCTTAACAGCTGGAAGCAATTACTCCTGGAGTCAGCTAGTTAAAAGTGCATAACAATGAATAAGACATGTTTAGGGACCCGTTGTTAATTAGCCATTATTTTGAGTTCCCTTGCAGCTTTAACTGAGATGCTTTAGCTCACTTCACAGCACACCCTGCCTCAAAATGGCACACAGAATCTCTAGTGCTTTAAGACATTTTGCTGCGGGATGCCTTATGTAACAAGCCTTGCATAACTTCTGCTAAAAGCACCTCCAGCAGCATCAGGCTCACTCTCTGAGGTTTTATGCCAAAATGCAAGTGAAGTTTGAAGTTAGTTTTTTAAAAATAAAAAATAAAAAATCATAACATCAGAGTGGAACTATAAAGCTGGCATCCGTCTGTCCCGGGAGACAATAAAGGATTGCGCCTTTGGGGGGTGAAGTCAAACTGTTGGAGGGTTATAGCACCTGCTGAGGCTGTAGAGACCGATACAGGAGAGGCATGTTTTGTTGCAGCTGGAGCCGATGTAGGCATCCAGTTGTCCTGCTGCAGGTGCACCACGGCGTGTCTTCTCTCTGAGCATCCTAAGCACAGTTACCCAAAAACTATGCACTTCGTTTGGAAGCGTGTGTGTGAAAATATTTGCAAAACTGAGTGCCCCCTTTTGGCACTGCTAGATCCAGTCTAGTGCGCGCGCACACACACACACGCACACACACACACACACACACACTGTGCCCCCCCCCTAGAAAAATAGGTGCTGGTACTCACCATGAAGTTGTTATAGTAAGTACCACACTTTTTAACAATGAAAAACAGGTGCCAGTACTGCATACCCTTGAGAACCCCCTGGAAAAAACACTGTGTGTGTGTATCCATCTCAGTGCCCATAAAAGAAAATCAAATAGTTCTTGGACAAGTTTGGATTTGATATCCCGTTCTTTCTACTGAGCCCAGTCAGTCGTCAGTCATGCTCAGAACCATTTGACGTGATTGACAATGGTTGCCCAAGACCTCCAATGAAAGGCCTTGTTCCCAGCCTGGTTATTTAAGATATTTTAGCTGAATGGGGTAGAAGTAAAATTTGGGTATATATTCTGCCACTGGAATTTGGAAAAAATTGAAAGGAGAGAAATGTTTCCTGGCTAGGAATTAAGCTCAGGCCATAGTAGGGAGAGTGCCAAATCTGGACCATTGGACTCAAACCCTTATGCTCTTTTGTTATCATCTCCCTCTCTTGAGACAGACGCTGGGAATGAGCGCGCCTGAAATATTAATAATTCCTAATAGGTCTTTGTCACATGAGGCGTGCTTTGTGACGATACCCCTCCTTCCTCCCCCCTCCAAAAAACGGGGGAGTTAATTGAATCAATGAAGTGAACAGCACAGCCATCCAGCATATGCCGGCTTCCCCTGTCAGCCCCAGTCATTACTGCAGGACCCATTGTCACTCCTCGTTGCTTGATTACACCACTTGGCCTGCGAGGGGATTTGATGGGAAGTGTCCAATGAGGGGCCAAGCTGTTTCTAAAGTCAGCTTTGCAAAGCCCCAGATAAAAGGGGGCTTCCCTTAATAAGGCAGGAAAAGGTTAGGACGAGAGGCATTACAGCAAATCTGGAAAGAGGTAAGGTGATAGTTTTCTCTGAGGCTTAGAGAACAGATGGGCTCCCAGGAGGTTCTGCATGCGGGTAACAGAAGAGCTGTTTCTTTTCTAGGAACACGCTTATCACTTGTGTAGAAAGTCGGCAGAGCTTTTTGCAGCTTTGGCTACGAGCTAGCCAAGAAGGAGAGGGCTTTTAAAATTTAATCAGAAGTTAGGAGAAGCATCCTCTCAGCCTGGCAGCTCCTTGCTCTGATATGCTGGCAGGCAGCTGGGTTTCTTGCTTCTTCTTCAGCTGCCTCTCTAGGTCCAGTTTTGAGCCTTAGTTATTGGAGAGGCACTTGCATGCTTCTGGGTGCGTTTAGCGGTTTCAGCACGGTACGAGCCTCTCTGATCCTGACGAGATCTTGCATTCTCTGCTCCCAAGGAAACAGCCAAACTGGCAGGCAGCAGAGCTAATGTAGTGAAATGATGGCAGATAATGCTTGGCAATGTAGCTGCCAGCCTTGCGCATGGGTGTTAAAGGGGCAGCTGCAGAGCAAGAGAGCACCCCCCAAAAAAAACCCCACTTAAAGAGAATGCAGTGAGTTTTTGAACAACGCATGGTGATAACAGACATGTTGATGCAGGCTACGGGTTGAAAAGCTAAGCACATCAAAGAGTTCCAGCTTCTCTCCTGCAGCTCTGTGCAAGAGAGAAAAAGAGGGTATAGTGGCAGGCAGCTGTTAGGAAGTATGGCCCGTTTGTTTTATGATGCCGCGTTGGGAATCAGATCTGGTTCCTCTGTAAGGGAAAGCGTGCAGTGAAAGGGCAGAGTGGAGAATTTAGAAGCTGCAGAAAATAGCCGGCGTGTTTAGCATGGCAGGAAGGTAGCAAGAAATCCGTGCTAATGCTAGGTCTAGTCTGGAAGCAACCCAGGAGCGGGTGGGGGCCACCACCACCCTCTTTTTCTTGTTTAAGTTTATATACTTGTGTGTGTATTTAAAGCAATAATCCCCTTTACTGATGATGTTCGTAATAATCACGGTCATTGATAATATATTTTTGTCATTTCTTAGTCAGATGTATATGAAGCTATGACTTGCGTTTCTGCAAACAGCAGATAAGGTGGTAAGTCTGTATCTGGACTGCACCATTTCATATTTAAGGTACAGGCTCAGATCAGTGAATGTTCTTCCATACAAAAACATTCGCTTCAGATGCAGAACTTTGCACATCATGTCTTCCTCCTGACATACTAGCCGCCTTTATGCATGGAATTTTTTTGTATGGAGTGTATAATCATGGGAGCCCCTGCCCACAGTTTGAAATGGTAATGCCCATAGCCAGATTTGCCACTTCATCTGCTGTTTGTAAGAACTAGGCCACTTTCTCAGGGTAATAGGGTTAATTTTTTATAAGGAATCTTGATGCTTGATTGCATGCATGATGTGATTTTTTAAAAAACAAAAAAACAAAAACCTGAATATATATCCTGCACTTCTTCCGAAAGGAGCCTGGGGCAGCATAGAAAAATAGAAAACGAAAGATCACAGTTCTGCAAAAAAAATTATGGGCATACAGTACCTCTGTGGAGGACTATGTGTTACTTACTCACTATCTGGGAATTGCCCAGGGAGCTGACTTGTAATACTGAAGTAGTTTGTTGTGCACACTGAAGAAGAATGAAACTGATGAAATTCAATCAAATGTTGGTTGGCTGAAACATAGGAGATGATAGATAGATAGATAGATAGATAGATAGATAGATAGATAGATAGGAAAAAAACTGTACCAATGACCAGATCAAATTATACAGCTTTCAAATTCTTTGCAGTTCTGTATCCTGCTGAAAACATAGAAAGACTCCAGCCTAGTAATGCATGATATTTATAGATCTCTATATAAGGCCAGACGAGTGGAAGAGAACAGAGTTCACTTCTCTTTCTCTGTTGTCTCAGTGAGACCTGCTGTTGTCATTTGGCTTCTTCTGCACTAATTTGAAATCCTCTTTTTCTCCCCCCTCTCCTAACAGCTTTCCATGAAGGAGGTTGGGGACGGGCTACATGAACAGATGAACTGCATGATGGGTGCTCTGCAGGAGCTGAAACTCCTCCAGGTCCAGACAGCTTTGGAACAGCTGGAGATCTCAAGCAATCCAAGCCAGGTACCAGGAATCGGCCAGCACCAATATTGTCAAAACAATAAGGAGGCACCAAGGGCAAGGTGTGAAGCCAGCAGACAGGGCGAGAAGCTGCTGGGAAGAAGCTACTTGCAGGACTGCAGTTCCTCAGCCTTTTCGTGCTCTACTCAGGGGTCACAATCCGCCAGCCCGCTTCACCGCATTACTTTGCCAGACAGTAGCCATGGATACATGGCTTCTTCCCTTAACAGCATAAGCAGTGAGGACTACTATCATGCGAGCGGACATTCATCAACAGTGAGCACGGCAGAGTACCATTCTCCGAGGACGTTTGAGTCGTCCAGTGAGCACATGACGAGAAGCTGGTTTTCCCAAGACACAAACAGCTGGTCCGAGAGTAGATCGGGGTGCAGGGAATGTCAGTTCTCTGATGAGACTAACGACTGGACTTCCTCGCTAATGTCTCAGAGCAGGAATCGACAGCCTCTCATCTTGGGCGACAACATCTTTGCTGATTTGGTTGGAAACTGGTTGGATTTGCCTGAGATAGACAAAAAGGTGGAGAAGAATGAGACAACCCTGTCAAGCAGCAGGTCCCAGGAGTTTTGCAGAAAGTTCTCTCTCACAGCCAATATCTTTAAGAAGTTCTTAAGGAGCGTCCGGCCAGATCGAGACAGGTTGCTGAAGGAGAAGCCTTGCTGGCTGCCGACAGAAGATAAAGAGGCCGAAATCTTAAAGAGGCCCAAAAAGGCAAGCAAACAGAAGGGAACCTTTTACTTCCCGGTCCATGGGAACCTAGCAAACTCACACGACAAAGCAGAAAGGTGCCAAAAGAAGGAAACAGGCAAGGCCAAGGCCAAACATTGCACCAAGAAGATCCACAACACAATAGAACACACTCAGTCAGGGTTTGATTTTAACACAGCTGTATGGGTCTGAACTCCCAGAACTTGTTATCTCCTTTGCCTCCACTGTCCTGCCCCAATCAGGAGATAAAACAGCGAGAAAGGTGGAAGAAAAAGAGATCTGGCATGCATGGACTGGGGTGAGGAAAGGGAGAAGGAGTTGATCTCCATACATTGACACAAATCACTTCCCAACTAACATCTATTGGATAAAGGGAGTCAGTTTGTATGCAGAAACTCCCCACACTAATGTTTAAGAGAATCTTTCACAGTTTGGGGAAGGAGGGGGCACAGCAGCGTCTTAATTAGCTGTTCCTCTAGACTCCCACTTTCATAGGCTTCAAGGTTGCCAAACATTTTCAGTTCATCTCTGATTCAGGTAGCAAGAGAATGTTACGTCTCAGTATGTGTGTGTGTGTGTGTGTGTGTGTGTGTGTGTGTGCAAGCTGGTGTATGTGTGTTTACAATTTAACTCTGCTTTTTTCCTGTGTGCACTAAATCCTGGATCACACTCCGGGCAAATGAATAAGCACTTGATAATTAAATTAAGAGTGAGGGTTGGATTTGTAAGAAGAAGAAGAAGAGAGGCTGTGGGAAATGATTTGAGTGAAGTTTGTACAACCACATTGCGTTTTGACTGTTCTTTTTCTAAAGCGTTTTTTTCTGGCTCACCCCTCATGATCTGTACTGTACTAGAATGTGTCTAAAGAGTGCTATGTAGTGAGTAGCCAACCCATCGCTGCAACTTTAGGGTTACCAAACACGCTTCACCTCTTCATTTTGCCCTCAAAGCCTTAAACTCTGATGCCACACTGAGGTCCCAAGTTGCAATAGACCTTTCCTTGACTTTATTGTTTCATTTTGCATTTCTTACTCTGTACGAGTTTAGTCTTGTGAGAAATTAGTTCTCCGGCGGTCAGCTCTCCCAAGAGTTTGTTATTAATAAAGCGATGTTCCTCTCTCCACGTATGGCTTGGTGGGGCTGTTTGTGCATTGTGAGAAACTTGTGGAACAATTCTCATTATGCCTCGGTTATGTAGGCGGCGAAGAAGCCTCATGTCACATGTCTCTGATGGCAGGAAGTTGAGGGTTCAGAAAGAAAACTGAGAAAGTGACAATGGGTGGTAAGTCTGTGGTGATGGTTTCACTGGATGTTGGGACTGGCCCTGAATTCCCAAACTCCACTGCTTAACACCTGGCCGATTTTCTTGGGCCCTGCATTCCCCATCTGTAAAATGAAGAGCAGATGACTTAAACAGAACGCAGGTCTGTACACTTTAGGAAAAAAGAATGAAGGCATAACACCCTGGGAACCTGAATGGGTGTACCAAAGTTTCTTTTCTTTCTAAGATTATAATAGGAGTCAGTTTGACTCATACAACCTGGAAGTTTGTGCCAGAACTTACACCTACATTTTGAGTTGTTCTAATCTTGATTTGATTTTAACCAAACAGTACTATGCAGTTAATGTACTCCTTTCAACTTTGCTAAGCAATGAGAGGGCCAGAAACGTGTTTTGTTTCTTTAAAAAAATGTCAGTGCTGTCTAATAAAATTATGTTCCTGTTTCAGTTCCACTAAGACAAACAGTCAAGTTGGAGGAGCCACCAGGATACTATAACTGAGAGTCTCTCCCCCCCCCCCCCCGCTTACAAATGAATTAAACATAGGCACAAGGCAAGCACTATTTTTTGCCCTTACAAGGAATCAAAAGCTGGTGAAGGATCTACTATGGGCACACAGGCATGATACACTTTCCATTTTTCCAACAACTGCAACCCTTTCTCATTCTTTGCTTTCCCAAATTAATGGACATCATTTCGTTATATATTATGCATTCTATGCCCCAAATAGTTAAAAACCATATGCTGATAATAAATGACTACTGTACCTACTGTCTTACTACGTACAAGTACTTCATAAGAAAATGCCCAGCTGCATTAAGGTCAATATAAGTGGATGACTGCTAGCTCAGGCACAACATGCATGTCTTGCAGAAGTCCCATGATTCTTTTTTTCACTCTCTGTCCTCAGCCCAAAGGAGGCTGAACTGGCTGCAGGTCTGAATAGGAGAAGGGAAGACAAGAAGTTTGCTGACCTTTGTCTCCTCTGGTCATTTTCCCGTTCAAACTCATCAATCTGTGTTTTCATCCATGGGGAGAAGACACAGGGAGTCCTGTGAGGTGGAGGGAGCAGCCCAGTCTTTTTGTTTTTGTTTTTTGAACCCTAAACTATGGCAGAAAGAATCACAGAAATCTGCATGGTGCCTAATTTGAGTGTTATGGCTTTAAGTAAAGATTATATAAGTTCAGGGTGTATATAATTGGGAGTGTATGAGCAGTTAGGGGAGGGGGTAGTACCTCTGGTGGGGGACACATTGTGCTCCTTCTGGGGTAGTTTGTCCACCTTTGGTCCCCACCTTGCCCTCAGCTCTCACCTGTGGCTCCTAGAAACTGTCCATGCGACAGCAGCCACACCCCAGAAACAGCTTTGACTAGCTAATGGATTTCAAACCCTTGGTGAGTTAGGAAGTTCCCCTGCATGCAAAGACAGACTCCGGTGGATTGAGCGGATGAGACCAATAGTGGGTCCAGTGGTCAAGAAGGTGGTTTTTGCATGTTCTGTAGAGGGAAGTGAGGGGCAGATGGGGCTCATCAACCTGGGAAGGTGGCCCATGTAGGAGAAGGAAAGCTCTGATCCTAAACCTCCGCTACCTTGCGGGATATCTTCAGGAGAAGAAAAGGCTCAGGAGTAAACCCTACACAAATCTAAAGTAGGAGTCCCTAAGACAGCTGGATACCTCCTTGTATGCAGCCTTCCAGCAACTTGCAGTCAAGCTGGTGCTAAATGTATTGCTCTGCTTTCCCTTGGACCACATCTGCAAGGCCGGGTGGAGGGGAGGTGATCCTGTCATCTGGGCAGCCAGGGCCTCCATACACACTGCCCAGGCTTGCACCCCGGGGAGGCTATTTCTGTGCTTTCGCAGTGGTTTGTCTCTTGAGACAGATGGATGCCAGCAACAACAGTATAAATCCATGGAGCATTGGTGAACTCTGTGTCCCATGCCATCTTAAAATCATTTTAAAATCAGAAGAGAAGAGATACACAATGATCCAGACATAGATCTATTGAAACATGGAGTATATAAATGTCTTCAGCCGCTTTTTAAAGGCTAGGAAGGAAGGACAAAAGTAGACATGTCAACGGTGCAAATCCTCACTGCCAAGCCTGTCCCAGTAAAAGACCAATATGCAGGCATAATGGTGAAATAAAATAAAAAAAGGTGGCGTTTGTGAAATTCCAGGAGATTCAAGTAGTCGGACCCTGCAAGCAGTTTAGAGAGCAGAGACGGGGAACCTATGGCTCTGTAGATGTTCCTGGACTCCCAACTCAAAGCAGTCTCAGCCGGCATAACTAAAAGTCAGTGATGGGAGTTGTAATCCAACAACCTCTGGGGGGGCTATTGGTTCCCCATCCCTGATATAAAGTGAGCAGGAAAGATACTTAACAGTTGGTGGCTGCTGGACTTTGAGAGACATACTGAAGCAACCTTCCCCAGGCTGGTGCCCTTCAGATGATGTTGAAATACAGCTTCCATCATAGACAGTCGTGGGTGGAACTGATGGGTGCTGGAGTCCATCAACTGACCAGAAGACACCATGTTAGGGAAGTCTGCTGTAAGCAACGTTTATGGACAAAGGGTCCTTGTATATAAGAGGATGAAACCTCCAGAACATTACACGGAACATGAAGAAAATGGGGAGCCACTCCCATGGCATGTAAAACAGCTTTCTGTCATTGTCTCTCATGGTTGTAAACTCCACTGCCTGCTTGCTCACACACAGCCAACAGAACACGCAGGCCCTGCGACTCCAGGGTTTATAAATAAGGTAATGTGAGCCGATTTTGCCGTGCCACGTGGTTCCTCGCAAATGGCAAAAGCCCCCATAACAACAGCTGTCAGCAAGCACTGTTTCCCTCCTGTCTGACAAGGAAGCCAACTGGAACTCCTCCTGAGAAAGAGACCTTTGGCCTCTCCTGCCTTTCCCTGACAGCTGCACGAAAAGCATCAGAACACTCTCCCTTTTATGTGATATTGGTGGGGCCACGGGAGGGGGGAATATAAGAGAGAGAAAAGATTGCCAATGGAAACTCTACCCTGCGCCAGGTTGCAGTTGAGAGACCCTCAGACAGCCATATTGATTACATTTCCCCTGGTTATGGGAAGATATTAAAAGCTTGTGAGGGAAGAAGTTCACAAGCGTCCCGCAGGTCGGCTCCAACACTGCACAGAACGTCTGTTCCCTTGATACTGTACAGCTCCTGCAGCTGTTGACTGGGTAACTCCTGTTAACCAGGACTGTCTGAAGTTTGTTGGTGGTCTGCTTTAATCTGATGGGACTCGAGGCTCACTGTGGTCTAGACTAGAGTCATAATTTTCTGAGGTGTGCACTCGCCTCTGTATTGTTCCCATTCTAGTATTCTACCCAAGACCTTGCGCCATGAACATCATACACAACACAATCCTTGAGTGAAGCATTTCCCACAACCTTGAGTGAAGCATTTCCCCCCTACTAGTTCTCAAGGGACAGCTGGCAACAGCGCCTGCCCTAACATTAGGTAAAATGAGGCAGCTGCCTCAGGCAGCAGGTGTGGGGGGAAAATGAGGGCAGTGGTAGCAGCTCCCCTGGCCATTCCTCTGGAGCTCCCTGGCTGCTTCTTTCTGTCAGACGCTAGAATTTAGTACACCATGTGTCCTGCCATGTATGCCTGTGGCCCTCGGGTACAGTGGAGAATGTTGTCTGTTCACCAGGACTGAGGTAAGATTCTGCTGCCAGCCAGGTTGTGTTCTGTACTTGGAATGGGGAGAGGCACGATCTTGTGCTTCTCTTCAGGAAGCAAAGTATCTTGGGCTGGTCTTGGATAGTGACACAATGAAGGGAAGGTGGAAGGGTATTGCACAGAATTTAGGACAGTAGTAAGTAGCCAATTCCAGAAGTCACTTTTACCTGAGCACAGCACTCCTCTTAATTGGCCAACCTACAGCCAATTCTCATGAACCCCAAAGCAAGGTGCGACTTCACAGCACATCATAGATGGTTGTGAACCGAAGCAGCCATCTGTCTGCTTCACTACAGGACCAAGAAAAGTCTGTTATAAGGATTTAAAGAATTTCCCCCTCTGACCTCATCCCACATAGAAAATTGAGCTGGCTGGAATCGGAGATGGGCTGCTGTAAGGTAAAGGTACCCCTGCCCATACGGGCCAGTCGTGTCCGACTTTAGGGTTGTGCGCCCATCTCACTTAAGAGGCCGGGGGCCAGCGCTGTCCGGAGACACTTCCGGGTCACGTGACGAAGCTGCTCTGGCAAGCCAGCACCAGCGCAGCACACAGAAACACCGTTTACCTTCCCGCTATAAAGCGGTACCTATTTATCTACTTGCACTTAGGGGTGCTTTCGAACTGCTAGGTGGGCAGGAGCTGGGACCGAAAGACGGGAGCTCACCCCGCCGCGGGGATTCGAACCACCGACCATGCGATCGGCAAGCCCTAGGCACTGAGGTTTTACCCACAGCGCCACCCGCGTCCCACATGCTCAAGTCCAATTTTGGGGTCACAAAAATCAAGCCTGAAATTGATGGGAATCGCAATTTGAGATGGAATCTAATAACTCAAGCTAAAAGAAGGGTTAAGCACTGCTGAAATTAATGGAGCTTATACTGGAGGAATTATTTGTGAGTCACAGCTATAGTTTTTGGCAGAGTCTGGGTCAGACAGTTGGCAGAAGCCTTGCAAGAGGGAGTCAGTACTGACAATGTTGTGCAGACTGAGAGACAAATGAGGAAGGGGGACAATGTGAAAGCACAAGCTTGGCTGCAAATTCCATCTAATCTCAACTCACAGACCGTCTTGATCGATTTCGGCTGGGGGCCCCCTATTTAATATTTTGAAGGCATCATTAATTG